TATGGTCACGGCGAAACGCCTGACTTTGCCAGGTCACCATGGCAACATCATTTAACTCAAAATCTTTGTGCTTTAAACGAAGTTAGACCAACATGTTTTCTATCATCTGACAAAGTTTCAAGGTGCTGGTGTTTAAAATGACTGAAAGGGACCCTCCCAAGTGAAAAAAGTGACTTTCTTCCCTTAGGGGGCGGGGCTTAGATGATGTCATCATTTGACCATCCAGTATGGTCAAGCACCCAAAGGGGCTCCTTACTGCCAAACTTGGTTTGATTTGAATTTTTTTTGTAAAAGTTATTCAACTTTGAAATTCTTCAAAAGTAGCCTAACTTTGGGGCCCCTGGGGACCCCTTAAACATGCTCAAAAACGAAAACCTTTGATAACTTTTAATCTCCAATGCCTTAACTGCATAATTACCGAGTTTGAAGCCGATAGCTCATTATCCCTAGGAGGAGTTCGTTAAAGTTCGACATGAGCGAAAATGAAAAATGGCCAAAAATCGCACTTTGACCCAAAATGGCTGACTTCCTGTGGGTTTTAGAGCATACCTCCAAGAGACTTTTTTTCATGATTTGAGGAGATGTACCTGTGTGCCAAAGTTCAGATCTCTGGGACTTACAGTTTCCCCCAACTCACGTTAGGGGGCGCTGTGGCGTAATTTGGGGGCGGCCATTTTGGATTCCATTATAGACCGGCTATTTCACGCGGGGGACAATTTACTGCCACGTTTTCCTGAGTTTTTGAATATGCGAAGTCCCTGTAAAATGCGTTCGAAGTGAGAAAAGAAAAATAATAATAAGAAACTTTCGAAATACAATAGGCCTTCGCAGCGCTTTGCTGCTCGGGCCTAATAATTTGCAATCTCAAATTTGGTTGAAAAAAACTGCAACCTTGATTTTGGAAATAATGTTCAGCACTAGTCTTGTTGCAGGTTAGATGTAAAACTGGGAGACTTTGAATAAGTTAATAATCTATTTGGTTTTCATTCAAATGTCAACTGTTTCAGATTTTTTCCAATAAATATTTTTCGATATCTGCAGTGATACATGCACATTTTAGAGGTGCTGTAGGACTACCTAAGGTGTGTAGATACCTAAAGCATTCCGCTCAAACTAGGTCAATTAATATTACCAAGGTTCTTTTTAATCTGCTACTATCTTCAAAGAGATCTGAAGACAGATGTGCAGAAAGATCTGCAGTTTGGGCACATATCTCCTGACAGAATAGTTGTAATTGCATTACTTTTTGCAAGCCTTTGTATCTGAACAGAGCTCTGGTCCTAGATTTAGCTAAAGACTGAGATTTACATAGGTAAAAAAGCAAGCCAGATAGATATTGTGTAAAATTAAACTCTCAGTTTAGTTTTACACACTATTAATCTTGACCTGCTCTCATAAAATTAGTTCAGAGAAGGAAAGGACATTCAACAACTTTTCAAGCTGGGCAAAGTGACATATAGTGCTTGACCACCAAAGTTCTGTCTATTCCAATAAATAAGAAAAAAAGTCCCAAATATCTTTGGCATTTAGACATAAAAAAAAATAAATAAATAATAATCACTTATTTTCCTGTTCTATTGTCAAATATAAAATCAGGGATTCTAAACAGAAAGAAAAACAGATTTGGTAACAGGTGCCATGTTTATTTTGGTCTGAGCAACACTAGTTTTCATCACAGCTGTATATCCAGCCTTAAACAATAATAACGCAACATGAATGGCCAATGCCTACTGAGTCGGCTCTTAAACTGTAATGGCGGGACTGGGACAAGATGGATTCTGATGTATTTCTGAATGCAGAATTTTAACAACAATTCAGCTTTCATGCAACGTTAGGCCATAGGTAGGAAGCAAACCCTTTGCTTCTGAGGCCAGCTGATTCAGCAGTCTTATTGGGGCATCATCCAGTTGGATGACCAATTCTACTTCATGGCAGATATTGTGTCAGTATAGTCATACATTTGTTATTTAAGTGCATGTCTGTAAGGTATTTAATTGTTCCTGAAGCAAAAAAATAAATAATTTATTGTGGCTATTTCAAGTCATGGTTGCAGTAATGACTTCTTCCTCTTTGAGTGGCTTTTAAGCCTGTACAAAGGGAGCCATTTACACGTGTCCTTCACTTGCATAGGAGAACCTCTTCTCTTCCTTACTACATTCAGTCTTGAATTTTCCCAGCAATCCCAATACATTGTTTTAAAATGATCTTTTTTTGTCATCTAGATTCAGTAGTCTAATCATCATCAGCACCTTAAAAACTATAGACTTCTATGTTGTTTTTTTTGTCCCTGTCATTCTCTCTCAGTGTTTCTCAGTGATCATATAAGTTTTTTTTCCCTTTTTGCTGTGGTTAAATAGCTTTTTTTTTTACTTCACCTTTTTTACAAAAAACGCTCCACAGAAGTTCAGTTAGGTGTCTGTTATATAACATTAGGAGATACACTGCTACAGATAAAAGCAGCACCTTTTATTTATATTATTTATAATAATGAGTTTTGGGCCTTTAACTGTTTTTAGAGACACTTAATACAATTTCCTTGAACTTCACATTTCAGTTTATAAACATTCTTGTTATGTACTGCACAAACACACTAAAATGCATGGCCAATAAATGACAAACTGTAAAAAGTTTAAGGGATGTAAATACATTTACATGGCACTGTTTACTCTGCTGATATGTACTCGGTCAGCTTAGGTCACATTTACTCATTTTGGCTACCTGTTAAAGTCTCCAGAGGTAAGATTGAAGTCTTTATTAGGAGAACAGTTTATTTCAGTAAGACTGACTGCCAGGCTAGACTCACAAAGTAGGTGAAGAGAAGTAAAAGCCCTTACACAGCATTTAGCTTTGCATCTTTGAAACAAAATCATAAATGTTTAAACATCTTTTATCCAAAATAAACAATGATAAATAAACACAGGGAGTTTGAGGTTGAGGGAAAATCACATTGTGCACGACAGCGACTCCCCTCCTTAAACTGAGACCTTAAATATATGTGATGAAATCAAAAAACTCTGCCATCTGATGCAAAGCTGCTTCACGTAGGCAAACAAATAAACAAGCTGCTCTTATTTCCTGTGCCATCAGGCACTCTCAATGTTTACTCCATGGAAGAGGAAGCACATACTGCAGTTCTTTGATAACACTTCAGAACAGACCCCATGCCAACTCTCTCACACATAAATGTGGGTGTGATCCTTTCTGTCAGGGACAGAAAACAATGGCTGATTTTCATCCTACTTCAATTAATAATTTACAGATTTTTTTTCCATTTACATTGTGGCATTACTAACAGGGAACCGTTTTTGGTGGCATTTGATGTGGCACCCCCAGTTTTGAAGTGTCTTTGCATTGTGTTTTCTGATTTGTGGGAGCAGATTGAGGAAAGTCCTGGCAGTTCCTGCAGTGCTGACACTATGGCACATCAAGAGCTAGGCTCTTAAGCTGCAGCTGCAGTACGTGGTGACAGATGTGTGCAATGACCTAACAAGAAAACTCCCACAGCTACATTTTCTTTTCAGACTGCTAAGTGAAATAACAAGAGTGTGCTACAGCACTTTAGTCCATGTGCAAGTCTCAGTACTACATTAACTTGATATAAAGCAAAACCATAGCCTTAAAATAAAATTATATTAGAATTTGCATGTCTATTCCCCATCTTTAAGGAAGATACAGCATCTATTTTTTTATAAGACACAAAAGAACACTAGGTCTTTGGTATAGAAATTTTGCATGAGTGTCATATAATTAGTTACCTTTCTCTTGGCATGTGGTGGCTGGGATTGTGTAGACAACGGATGCTGAGGCTAAATAGCTTGCGGGCGGTTCGTTGGATCTTGAGCCGTTGGATCTCCAGGGAACTCTGAAGGAGTCTGTAACGTGCCTGCAGGTCCCAGTCGCTGCCCCAAAGGAGATGCACACTACTGATGGGCAAAAAGTGAGTGGATGGGAGTCTCTTCAGGAACGACTTGAACTCATCTACAAAAGCATGGATGGACAAAAAGTATGAACAAAAGGTAAAGTCAGGAAATAAAATGCCAAAGTACTTTAAATCCAGGTGAAGATAAATTCTATGACAGAAAACTTTAGAAAAAACACACATTTTAATTCAAACATTTGAACCTGCACTGTTATTACTTCTTACAGATTATTTCTACTTTTTCAATAAGAGGCATTTGATTACAACCGTTCACATCAAAAAGTTAATCTCTCAGGAAAGTTCCAAGTCACTGGTCATATTGTAGTTATTGTATTCTTTAGGTAACCCTACATGTTTTCTATAGTATTTAGGTGTAGGGACTGGGATGATAAAATAAGCTAGGTATTGTGTCAAAATTTACCACTAGGAGAGTTCATGTTATTAATTTTTAAAATGTCCTTGTGTTTCATGAACCCATGTTCTCTACTAACTTACCATTTGGGTTTAAAACACACACACACTTTAGAACCACATATACTTTTTTTCCCCCATATACTCAGTTCTGTTTTAATTTATTATATATTTCAGTTTTACTGGTATACCATTTCTAAAGCTAGCATATAAGGGTAATATGCCACTTTTAAAACCAACATGCCAGATACCACTTTACTCTGGGTCTGGCTGGAAAACTGTGTACTGGATTGGAATTTTTAGATGTGCAAAAAAAATAAAAAATAATAATAATAATAATAATAAAAAGAAAGAAAAAGAAATTACAAAAAAAGAAACAATTAATATTTCCTGACACTGTATTTATAACCAGTGAATAAAATCACTTGTTCCATTTTTTTCAAGTTCCCACCAGCCTTAACTTAGGTTATGTTTAAATGTTTAATATTATTTTGTTGTCCAACTGCAGAAAGTAAGACTGGAAGTAGTAATTATCCTTTCTTAGAGCTTTAGGCACTGAGATTACTGCTCAAACATTTACTGTATTTCAACCAGCATTGGGAATCTTGTTTCTGTCATATAGACAGGGATACTATTTCCTTGTTCTCCCCGAGACCATTGTTTTTTTTTTTTTTTTAAAGCTAGCTTCGTGTCTTAGCAGCAATAGCTTAAAAATGTTTTTGCAATATTAGTGAATAAAACTAAAAGAACAATTTAATTCCGTAATGAATTTAAATTTGTATAATTCCAAAATGAAATAATTAAGGAATTAAATACCTACTTCACAATGCTGTGCTTTAAAATGCTGACAGAGGTAATACAATTCTGAAATAATAAAAATTGAACAGTTTAGTGAAGCAGATTTTTGTCCATATAAATGTACTTGAGAATACTGGAAAATCAAGACATTAACATTCTAGAGTTCTACTTAACAATACCCCCAAAAATTTATGAATGAAATAAAGCAGAGCAAGAACAGCTGGGGTGCCATATCATTGAGCTATTACAATACCTGTGATGCAAAGCTATAAAACTGAAAGACAAATATACACACTAATGTTTAGCACATAGCAGACCGCAATGGACTTTGGCACACTCATAGCAAATTCTATTTTTTAGGAAACACACCTGCAAACCATGGCAATGCCCTTTTTCAGCTGTTCTCAAGACATTTAACAGTATTAACCAGAGTTAAGAACTCCTTTTCAGCCAGAGCTGCAAAATGTCAGTGATTCCTCCTCCCTCCTTCCTGGCATGTCAGAACTCAAATTCCCTTTTTTCTTCAAAGGAGCCAGGATCCATCTCCTCCCCTGTTTTGAACCTACCACAGACCTCTTCCTAGCCTTCATAGATGACATAAATAGTCTTTAATTCTTTCCTAGAAAAATCTGACAAGCAGCAGCACATAGCATTGAGAGTTCTTTCTAACAGGAAAAAAAGCTCTATTATCAGTTATATTTCAGTAGAAATTCAATAATGCGACACATCTTTTATTCGAGCTTCAAATATTTCAAGGATTAGATTTCTTCATAGAGCAACCAAACAGTCTACATGGTGGTTCTGATAAGAACCACCATGTAGACTGTAGCACCCCATGTCTGAAGATTACAACACACAAAGTTTACCGCAAACTAACTTTAACCATGTTTTGCTCAGAACCATTAGAAATTTTTTTAACTGCAAGTTTTTAAACCGGTCAGATGACGCCTAATAGGACAGAAATGTAAAGAAAAAAAAAATAATATTCACCCTGACCCTAACAAATTAAAAAAAATATAATCCTAAAGTTTATGTATATAGTTGGAGAACAAGACACATTTCAATAAATTATTTTTTTCTTCACAACATGTTTTTATTATTATTAGTAGTAGTAATCCTGCTGTTAATATAGTACCTTGTGAAAGTATTCAGCCCCATTGAACTTTTGCACCTTTTGCCAAATGTCATGGTTCAAACATACATATATTAAATTGTCATTTTTTGTGAATAATCAACAAGTCCCCAGATGTTGTTCCTGCCCCTCCCTCTTAACCGAGTATGCATCAGAGCAGACTTGTCCGTTGTCAAGATTAACAGCTGTCCAAGCATGCACCGCAGCAGGAGCCTTCAGTGGAGTGCTCACAGCGCTCAGAGCATTAAGTTAAAAGTTCAATTTTCTGTTGTTCTATAAAAGCGCATTTTAAGGTCATTTTTGGCAAGAACATTATATTTTTACCTCAAACAAGAAGAAGACTGATCAGAGATGCAGCCAAGAGGCCCATGATTGCACTGGGTAAACTGCAGAGATCTACAGTTGAGGGAGACTCTGTCCAAAGAACAACAATAAGTTGTATACTTAACAAATCTGGCCTTTATGGAAGAAAGTAATTTCTTAAAGATATCCATAAAAAAGTTTTGTTTAAAGTTTTCCATAAGCCACAAAGGAGACCTGAATCCAGTCGGGAATCTGTGGAAAGAACTAAAAACTGCTGTTCACAAACATTTTCTATCCAACCTCACTGAGCTCCATCTGTTTTGCAGGAAGAATGAGCAAAATTCAGTACTTTAAACAGACCTCTGAGACGATCACAGAGTACATGCATTTATACGGAGCTTTGATTACAAACAGGTGGATTCTATTTATCATTATCAGTAATTTTGGTCAATTTTGGATCATTCAGAGATCCTCTCTTTACTCCTGGAGAGATTTTGCTCCACTGAAAGTAAAGGGGCCGATTATTAATTTTGCACGTCCTATATTTCAATTTTTTATTTGTTAAAAAAGTTTAAAATACCCAATACATTTTTCTCCACTTCATTGCTGTGTCCCACATGTTTTTGATTCTTCACAAAAAAATTACAATTTCATATATTTATGTTTGAAGCCTAAAATTTGACAAAAAGGTTGAAAAGTTCAAGTGTTGTGAATTGTCAATGGACTGCACTTATTGTGTCCAAACGTCCGCCCTAACCCCTAAATTCCTTAATCACAATATATCACTATATATCACTACTTTTTTTCTCCCCGTTGGTCACATAACTCTGCCTCCCCACACGGTGCCTGTGACATCTTGGTTATTAGTCACCACTACCATGATGTATTGTGAGGAGAGCTCTCACAAAGCAATCTGGGATAGATCTGCTTATTTAGTGACCATTGATGATCACTGCCTTCAAGGTGCATTGTAGGAAATTTCCAGTCCACTACTTTTTCATCCACTAGACGTTCAGACACTGACGTACACAATGTAGGAGCATACAGAGGGAGGAGCCTATTCCTCCCTAGTTTCTACAGATTAGATGCTTCATGGGTACCAAGTCATACAATGGACTATTGTTACTGACCATTGAATTAAAAGAATAGGAGATAATTTCAACTTCTTTGATAAGACACTTGTTACTGTTTTTTTTTACTGTTACCATTTTGAAATCTATATAAATACAACTGTGATAAAAACTAAGCAACCAAAAAAAATAAAAATAAAAAAGGATGCAGCTAATTGGTAAGTTTTAAAATGTTAAAATTTTGCTCGGGGCTACCTTGTGCCTTTGGTCATTACACTGGTGACCCCAGTGAGATCATCCTCTATCCTGGGTTTTTGCATAACCAAATAATCAAGGTTTCTATATGATTAAAGTTTTGGGACTCTGTGTTGGTTTGGCCGTAAACGATTACCTTAGTTTTTTTACTGGGTTTTTGGAGGGCAACAGATACGTTTTTCTTATGTATTTTCATTTCAAATAAGGGATGTCATTAAAATAACTTAACATTTTCAGGGCATCTAGAAGAGTAACAAGCCAATGGCATCACAAAACATGCACTATACTTAGCAATGGGCCAAAGATGCTTCGCTACATTGCAGTACTCAGTTTTATTAGCAGACCTAGCAAACAACTGGTTGGTGGGTTAACATTTTTTTAGTAGTTATTATAGACACTTTGTCCCCTTTCTGTGAAAGCTGCTAAAATAAAAAGGTGTTTTTGTTTTGTTTTGTTTTTTACCTCCCGTGACACTCCTTCCATTATGTGTACCTGGCAGGACAAATATTGGTCTTTATTCAACCTAGCAAATAAGAGAAATGATCTCCTGTGCCATACAATATTTCTATCAAAAAAATAAAAATGCTACTTTATGGATTCAAAGTCCCTTAACATTCTGGTAAACATAAAAAAGCAATGCAAGATATATTTATTCTAAATGGACTGCTTTATGGTATCACTAAATATGTTTAAAACCAATTATTACATAGAAGTGTCTCACTTAACTCACAAAAAAGGTGCTAGTTTCTTCCACTGCAGTAAAACTTATTCATTCAAAGGATTTTTTCACAGCTTTATCAGAAGTACCAACCAGTATCTATGTATTAATAAAGCTGCTCTCCAACAAAATTTGTAATTATTGATAAACACATGCTGTATTTTCCTGTTTTTGAATTTATCAGTTGGTGTGACTTGAACTGTTGAGCACTTTGAGTGACATTCATGCTTCAAACGCATTCATAAAGCTGAGCTCAGCTCTGTGTAGTTCTATTATGCACAGAAGATATAAAGAGTTTGTTTCATTATCATATCATTATATATATTTTGAAATATCTATACTTAGAAAATATTACAATTTTCCCAGATTACTTCTGTATCACCTTGCCAAAATAAAGCACTTCCTTGTAGTAAGTTGCACATTACTAAGAGATTACTTATGCTTTCAGCCACAGTCACAGATTGCCAGAAGAAAGCAGAATTGTTTCCTAAGTTTAGAAGGGTGCTTGGCAGTAATAATTGTTGTTAGATAGGCAAGTACACTCCCTACTCTGCTAACTTGTATCTCAGAAAGTCCTGCTGAGGCCATCTGAGACAGACTTTAGCTGTAATTACTGTGATAACCATAACATGACATGTGAATACAGCAAAACCTTTTGTGCACATTTTTGTTATAATGGATGATGAGACACTTAAGGTCATACTTTCAGAAACAGTATGCAGAACTTAGCATGGACTGCGAACTGGCACATAAGGCTTGTCCCTGGAGAAACCGGGCTACTCCCTTGGTTCTGGTGGCATGTCTGGCATATCTAACAGTTGCTTTATAAAATCAATAAAACCTCTAAAGCCAATAAAAAAGTGTCATTATCACTGTATATTATTATTGAACGATTTTATAAATGAATTGCTGCAAAAGCTTTGCATTTTTATATACAAACAAATATCACAATAGGTCGAGCCCAAGCAGCAGATGGAATATCAGTTAGCCTCAGCCCACACAGCCAGGCAGGGCAACAGCTGCAGCTGTCTTCAAAGCGAGTGAATTTAATCTATTAAAGATCTTAGCTCTTGATAGAATTATCAGGAAATGTATGAATCAAGTCCAGTACAGATCATCCTTTCTCTAAACTTGTAGATCTATATATAATAGATACAATGTTGAAACAACTGACAAATCTAGTAAATATTGTCACAATACAACAGAGAATAAAGATTAACAATCTACAGCCTCTTTATAGGCTTCATATATATTAATTAACCTTTTTTTTCATATTTCCATATTTATGGTTTAAATGAGTGGTTACCAATTAAACATCACTGGGGTCCAAATAGAGAAAATCAGTAAAGGTCCAGAGACATTTTTAATTATAACCTGTTGCTTTAAACAGCATTTAACACTAAAATAAAATACAGGTGTTTATGCATCCATGTTATACACACATTTTTTTAATAAAAAAATATACAAAAATAAAAAAAAATTCCATTTTAAAATTTAAATTGTTCTTTCAGTTTGGTATATCGACAATTTCCTGACACAGTTTATTTTATAAAACACCTGAACCGACCATTTTTGTTTTTTTGTTTTTTTTATGGCTTAATAAGAGAAGTGGGCTTTACGCTGACCTGCAAAGCTTTTAACCTGGGTTTGATTGGCGATAAAGCCATTCTCAAGCACATATCAAGGTGGTCATTTTGAGCTTGGATCAATATTTATTTTTCAATATGTTCATGGTGGAGAATCCTGCTTCACCGGAGTATGAGCCAGTCATACTCAAAATATGCAGGGTCACCTTTGAGCACACCATTTCACGTTTTTTTTCCAATCGCCCGGCTTGCCACAGGTTTGCCTGCTGTGTCTAAAAGTACGTAGCAGCAGCGACCCAGACTGACAGCAGCTCATTGGCTAATTTGTATCAAGTGCTGGCTGGTACCGGACACTCCGAATGGCTTTACCATACAAACATTTAAACATTGTCGTCACACAACATGCATTTAAAAATATTTTTAATCAGGTTGGGTCCGGATTATTCAGCACGTGGGTCAGAATCCGGACCCTGGTCCGCAAATCCCTGACTTTTGGTCTAAATGATGCTGATTTTTCTATTTGAAAGAATTAAAATGTATATTTTCTGTGAGCAGTTTTTACTAGGAACCAGTCCAAGTCATATTAATGTTTAATTTACTTATATTAAACAAAATGAGGAGCATAGAGATGTTCATAGAGTTTTCAGCTTACCAGAGCTTTCAAAATCTTTATAAGAGCTTGCCCAGGACTCAGACATCACCAGTAGGGTGTTTTCCATGATCTGGATGTCAGTGATGGGACAGTTGCACTGGGGATAATCGTCAGCGCACTGACAGATGCATTGGTTGTTGTGGCACACATACTCCCCCTCTCCATTGCACATGATGTAGCTCAGAGCTGACTGGACAAATTTCTCCTGCAGGTATTCTGGGAATATGACCTGAAGGCCTGAAACAGAAGAAAATTATAGTTTGGAACATGAGAATGTAACATGAAACAGTAATTATATTGGCAAATACATTAGATCAATAATTAAGAAAAATAAAGCAAATCCAAAACAAGCAAAAACAGCCAAAATAGTTTGATACATATAATTTTGTTCTATCTAAATTAAGGCTGGGGGATATGATTAAAAATACTGTTTTTGATTCTTTTTAAACCAAATTCATTTAAAATAAGTTTCTCACCCTTTTGTAATTAAAACAAATAACAAGTTCTAAATATTTCCATCAACCCTTCTATATTTTGAGTTGTATTCAAAGTGCAACTGAATGCAAGCTGCAAAACATGCCAGTAAAACAATTTAACAGGAATTGCAAATGTAAACAATGAAAATATAACATCATTTGTGATATAGCTTTTTAAGAGATTTAGAGTTCAACTGGTTCTTCACTATCACCGAGAGACTATAATTCTGAGAAATCCATCCCAGCCGATATCTCCCTTTGGGAATCTCACAGAACTAAAGCTTTGGCCTCTTAGAGTGCAGGCTTTCTCTTGAGTAAAAAAAAAAAAAGAACACTAACTCCACAAGCCACTGCACTGGAAAAATTATTAAATAGATTTTTCCTTCTAATATGAAATGACATCTTGGCAAGACCATATTTTCTTAATAGCTTTTACTTGAACACAAACTGTGCTTCAGCACAAAACATATGCAACCGGAACCAGGTCAAAACATGTTATTGAATGATGAATAATTATGTTATTCTTCATGCTCACATTTATTTTTTTTCCTTTGGGTGAAAGGCGGAATACATTTATGCAAAGTTAACTTAATGTGGCTAAAATTAAAGGGAAAGTAGGCATACAATTTCATATTGTACACATGAATCATTTTCAGGGTGTTGTCAAGGAGTCAAATGGTATCTAATTATGCATTTGCATGCAGCAATTAATCCTCCTTATTTTCACTCACAACAAATGCTGAACATAACTGTGGGTAATTCAAAAACAGATGAAAGCCTTAATGGTTTGGATCTGAAACAGAACACTTCAACAGTCATCATCATAATGACAGTCTGTGAAATAATGTTTTAGCTTTTCATGGGGAAATGTTTTGTGTTGGTTTAAAAAAAATAAATTTAAGGAAACACATATCTAAAGATGCTTTATGAAAACAGATAACAGGCTACCCGAAAAAGTAATTCTTCCTCTTGCAATTACCCAAACATAGTCCTAGATTTTGCTAAATGAAAAGCCATCTTATAATGTATACCTGTTTTTGCATAATCTCTTTTATTCCCCACACCTCATAAGCAAACCCTGTCCATCAGTGATAAAGGGAACAGAAGGAAGCAGGGATGAAGCAAGTAAAGAGGATAGATAGATCATGTCTGACCACAAAAGAGTTCGGTTGCCCAGGGCTTTTTCTCCATCAGGCTTGTCTAGATCCAATATTCATTTAGCTTGATGTATTCCTGGGCTTGAAACTTTAATGTGATTTGTGGGAAAATCCAGATGGCAAGTTCACGGATCAACGCTGCTCCCTGACAGTGCTGGTGCCAGCGGCCGCCTGCACAATAACACCGATTGCCTCAGTGCCCCCCAACCCCCCCTTTTTTCCCAGTCTAACTGTGTCTCATACCCCAGCCATATCAACACAATATGTTTTTTTATATTGGTCTCTTAGTGCTGAAAGATTGTAGACGCAACCATTTGAGATTCTGACATTCAGCTCAGCTCTATCAGTCTAGCAATCTATTGTTTTCCACTCTCCTGTTCTCTCTATGTTTCTGTCCATTCTCTTCCTTTGTGCCTCTCTTTGCCTCTCACTCTGTCTTTGTACACATCTTCTACTGTCTTACTTCATTACACTCACTACTACTCCTGCCACACACATCCATGTGCCCCCTGACTCCCCCAATCATCCTTTGGCTCCCATTCACTCCATCAATCACTCTCTTCATTCCTGTTTCTTCAACCTGTTCTGCTCACTCCCAACATTTTCTCATACTGAATGTGCATTCAGTTATTGAAAAATGTAAGTCCTTGGTTCCCTTCCTTGCTCCTATGCAGAAATGATGTCACGTAATAAAAGTAAATCCATCAACATATGTTAGCACATTGTCAAAATGAGCAAAAGAATACGAGACCACAGGCTCCAAAAGAAAAGAGAAAGACATCAGATATAAAAACATTTATCTTTATGACTAAGCAAGCCTTTCTAGACTATTGCAATAACACGTGACAAAATTGAAAATGATTGGACCATAAAGCGAGTTTATTGGCTTATGAGTCAGTTATGTGTTAGGTGGAAACACTAGATATTGGAGTATATGACGTTAAAATTATCATCATTTAAGAGGAGATGATGAAATGAAAGGTACATATTGCAACAGCTCTGCAGCTATTTGATAACCTCCAACTTCATGCTCTGTTGGTGCAAATAATTCTCTTCAATACAGATGCCTAGCTTGCTTTGAATAAATACCACTACAAATGGCACATAGTCACATTGCTTATAAGTAGATATTTTTTGCTTCCCATATTTTGAGGGATACAATATAGGCCCAAAAACCTGATAAAGACTACGGTTGTGACACTACCGGTATGTCTCTTTCATGTGTGCTTATTTTCTAATAAAGTGATAGATAGGGAGTGTAGGCCACAACTGAGGCTTGTAACTGCTTTGGCAAGCAGTTGCCTACTTACTGGAATGCCACGCTCCGCCTCATAAGTTACAGTTTCATTAAAGATTAATTGACCATTGTGTGGCTGCAATTTCACAAAATAATCATTACTTAATCCAGTGGTGCAATAAAGTGCGTTACCTCAATGGGGGCATTAAATTACCCACAGGAGGTTATTGTTGCAGCTATGATACCATTCCAAAGAGCCCTGGACAAAAAGACTCCTAAGTTCATGGTTGCTCAGGCTTTTGTGTTGATAATATATACCTGATGTGAAAGGGGCATATAGTTTTAAGTGTTGCTGCTTAGTCAGTTTTCACACACCGACTCCTTTTCTGTACCTATGAGGCAGAAGTGTAGCTGAGGAAGCTATTTATCCACTTTTCATTTTTTTGCATAGATTGTGAGGTGTCTAACAGCTCCTGTGTGTGTTGGGCCTGACAGAGGATAACATGTTCCACGGGAGCTGTTCTCAGCTCTCAGAATATGTTAGCATTTTTTAAAGTTCAGAATGAGCTGCACTTAGCATTCAGACAGATAATGTGCTTGTGTGTCAGTACAGGGTAGATTATCGCAGATTATCATAAGTGCTGTAAGCACTTGAGTAAGGAGAAGCTTGTGTTGTCAAACAGGACTGTTGACTCATAATTTTGTATTAGGGTTATTTGCGTTTTCATTTGGAAGAGGAAGTTTTGTGGCCAAATTCACCAACTTAGTTTTAGGAATTGTTTCAAATATTTACACACAGAAAAAAAATGTTTTTGAGAAAGTGGAATAAAAGAAATATAATATATGCAGCACCTTACAAAAGCACCTGAACCCTTTGGACATTTTTTGCGTTGTGTAAATGTACTTGTGACTTTATATGATGAATAATCAAAGAGTAATGCATTAATATAAAGTTTTGCTGTTTTTATATTTTTTTAGTTTTGTTTTTTTCTACATTATAAATGTTGAAATGCATGCCTTGCAATTATCATTCAGTACACCAAAGTTGGCAAGATGGTGGCACAGGTGTCTGCATATATATGCACATCTTTGTGTTCTTATTGATGTTTTCACCCTTCAAAGCGTTAAAGAATGCATATCATAAAAAATCTATTTTTTTTTTTAGCTATTTAATACATGGTGTACTTAAAATCTCTAAAAGTCCAAAAATATTTGAAGTAGTCCCTCTTGGTCTAGCTATCTATTTCAATGACAATCGGGTCATGTATTTCAGTCTGTTAAGTTTAGTTCTATTCTCTATTATGTATTGTTATTAGTATATGTCCACATACAATACATTACAACATTACAACAGTTTCAAGTCAACAAGGAAACACTGGGCATCACACAGAAAAGAATTCTGTTCTATTTCAGAATACAATTAATCCTACAACCTACACTAATTAAAATTGGGAAAACAGCAAAACAGAAGTACAACGCAATTTGAGGATGGAAATGTGTATTTATGACCAGATAACAAGTTTTGTTTTAGATCTCCACTTGAATTTCTTTTCTCTTAACCGCTGTTTTTGCAGCTAGAGCCGACGCTGGGCTAGCCTGGTTGAAGCATTCTGTGTGAGTGACTTTTTGCAGCATGTCAAAGCTGTAGATGCATAGCATTCAGTGTGAGCCCGCCATCAGAATAATTATCATCTGTTCGAAGGGTCAGTTACTTCTCTCTATGGAAATGATGGACACAAGTAAGTGGTAAGCTGCAGATCATTATGTAAAATTACAACAACATCTACTATTGACGTGTTACTGTAACTTACTGGCTACTATTTAAATAACATTGCATTGTGCCTTTTTTATGTGATTTGCACTTGCTTTTATGTCTTGACAGACTTAACCCTACTGTGTAATTTGAACAAAAATTTTACACAAACATTTCTGTTTGATTGTTATTTTAGTTCTGGGGAGCATGGGATCCAAATTAATTCAGTAATGCTCTTAGCACTTGCATTACCGAACTCATTACATATGTTGATGTCTTGTACAAAAGATGCGTTCATGAAGACTGCACATATAGAAAACAGATCAAATTAAAAACATTTTGGAGATTATCAAGCATTATTAAAAGTCTTTAGGAAGTTAGTGTGCATACATATTGTGGTAGCTGTTATATTTGAAAAGGTATATGCCATGTCATTTGAGTTTATCTTAAGTAACATTCGTAATAGGATTACAGCTTGCCACTACTATAAATTACCTATTTTTTGTTTGTTTGTTTTTTTCTGGTATTGTTTAAGAATTATAATTTTTTTTCTAATGTAGCCTACAAAGGTAAAACACATGGTTGTTTCAAACTTTATATTTTTCTTTAATTCT